TATCAACGTACTACTTTTAAATATAAAAAATATTTTTCGAACAACTATCTATTTTAATGGAATCAAAATAATTTGCATATTTTGATTGTATAAAAATGCAGATTTCCATGACGAAACTAAAGTTGCTAGTATTTTTCGTTTGGAAGTATTAAGATGAGACACTCCTTATACATAATTAAAATTTTGTACACTATTTTAATAGAATTTGGTCACACATAAAAGTTTTCATTTGTAATTAATTAGTCAATCGTAAACGGAAGCAATGCAAGTGATGTAAAGTCGTTGATAAGCGTTAATTCTAATCTTAAAATTGTATTAGAAGGATACATATAAATCTTTAGAATCAATTAATTATATTTATAGGTACAGGCAATTTCCGCATAACGGCATTTCTGTAACATGGTTCGAAGACAAAATAACATAAAGAGAAGGGATTTCTTGGAATAGTAATATAGTGTAGAAATAAAAAAATGAAGATATTTTGTAACACAAAAATTTTGTTCCTCTCACATTAATGTACAAAATGTTTCAATAAGTGTTGGTACTTTTAATAAACATATTTCTTATAGTTACAAAAATAATACTTTATTAACTGTAATAACTGTTAAAAAGCCAATAAAGTTAAATTTAATGAATTCCTCGTAAATGCGTCTTTATAATCGGAATTATCGTAGATTAGAAAATTCAAAACCTACCATTTTGAAGTGTTCGGTAGTCTTAATATATTAACACGTTCGCTAATAGCGTCACAAATATGACGTTCACGATCTCGTACTTTACGTGAACACTGGGTTCAATAAAACATTTTAAGAATGAAGAAAATCAGTGAGAAAGTGGTGATAGTGAACGTGTTAAATGAAGCTTTTAACATCTAGTAAAAAAAATAAGATTTGTAAATAGTGGATATAAATAAAACGATGGCGAATAGAGACAAATATCGTTGCAGATCGATTGGAAATGTTGAAGTGGAGTCACAATCGTAACGTTCTAATGATACAATAAAATAGAAGCTCTTGGTGCTGCTCGTTTATTATAACAAACATATCAAGTAGAGCCAACTCCTTTTAACGCCATAGGAAAGATGCGTAAAATATTCGAGAACTAAAGGAGGTGCTTTAATAAGGAGGCAGCTCCACTTTCGAGTAATTCCGACAAAATCAACGAAAGCTATTTACTGTCTTCTTATCGCTGCGAATCCTGCGCAGTGATAAGAATAAGAATAATAAATAATAAATAATAAATATAAGAATAATAATGGAAAATGAGACGATCGTCATAGCAGATTGATTGGAAATGTAGATAGAAATCACAGTCATATAGTAACGTTCTAATAATACAATGAAATGCTTTTATATTTATATAAGTTCGATTTTGTTTTACATTTATGTAAGTTATATTAATTCGTTTTAAATTTAGGTTCTGTAAATTTGTTTTAAATTTATGAGTTCTACAAAATTTGTTTTAACTCCAAACGTGTGAAATGGAGCATTATAAACGAAGGAACCAAGAATTTTCGAAAACCGCAAGAGCTGCCTTAATAAGGAATAATTTTAGTGTATCAAGAAAAGGCAATTGCTGTCTGGTTATCGCTGCGAGCCCTTCAACTGGCAACGAAGTAAAAAATAATGAAGAATGAGATGAATATCATAGCAGGTTGATTGTAAATGTAGTAGATAGTAGCGAGGGACCTTGCTAGTGGCAAGCAACTGGGAGAGTACTAGGCAGCAGGGACACAGGACACAAGGAATCCTTCGTTTTGTGTGTGTCTCGTACCGGTGCCGCCGCCTTCCGCCGCCGCTACCGCCGCCGCTGCCGTCGTCGTCGTCCTTATCCTCGTCGTCGGCGTCGTCGCAGGCCGACTCGATATATGCGGGCCGATTTTTCGTTTTGCCATCGGCTGCCTTCGGATCTTTCCCTTTCCTGCGCGTTCTGTTACTCTGCTCCTGCTCTGGGACCCTTTTACGTTACGCCGCACCGCGTGGCACACTCGAGGACAACGAAACGATGGGACGGGACTTCGGGGGACTACGAATAGCGTAAACGCTGGGCCCTGGGGGCTCCTCTCCGCTGCTTTGCGATTCTCTCCTTCTCCCTCATCTTTCGTCGGTCGCTTCCTTACTCCTTTTCCGTAGCACGCACACCTTTCTGCGTTCATCATTCCGCTATCTCTTTCCCCCGTTCACGTTTTACCGTTCTGCTTGAACACATTCGACGACCACTCCTTCCCTCTTTTTCCCCTTTTGTCCTTCTTCCCTTCCCACCTCTTCCCTGGTTCTCTCTCTGTTCACCGCTTTTGGGATCGGTGTCTTTTTTCAACCGCTCTGTTCCTCCTTCTGGTCACAGCGAAGCGGGCGGGGTATGCGAACGCCGCGATACTATGTTATGCCTCCGGACCGCAGGTCTGACATACTTTGTATGTTAATGCCACATAATGTCGGTTTTGTTCCTCTTTTCAGCATTTATTTGTTCGGCTTCTCGGATCTTTTGCAGGAGCGCGCACAAACCATAGTTCGTACTGCGCTTCGATCACTGTGCTATTTCGCGATCTGGTTCTTCTACTTCGTCTCCTCCTTTTTTCTCTCTTCTCCCCGATGCGGGCAGTCCGTGTCCCTCTGTGTCGCTATCGAAATCCGGCCGGAAATTGTTGGCCGAAGGTTCTTTGCGTTTCGACAATAGTAGATTTTGAGTCGCGAGATTATTAGCGCCGACGGAGATTTAATCTTACCGCGCTGTTCTAGAAATGCTTTAACGACTTCTCCGCAAGGAAGTCTCCTTTCTTGCATCTAGTCGTCCTCTTATAAACCGTTGCACTATGATTTCTTTCACAATCACATACGTTGATTAGTATTTCTTCGTCCTAAATAATCTCACTCATAGAACGAGATTATTTTTGTTTCTTGCATGTCTTCGTTCACTCGCATACCTAGATTTTGATAACAGCAGAATCAAATTTCGTTTCGATATGGAGAAAATGAATAACATTCATATCTAGCAGATTGTGTATGATCCGTTTCTGTGATTCTGGTCTTAAGTCAATGTGTGTGCGAACGTAATAAAAACCGAGTTGAGCTACTTTATCATACAGCATCATTGATGTGTATACAAGCTTTCTCAAAATTGATTAATTTATGCACCATTTGTAAATCTTTTAGTAACACTAATTCCTGCGATCTTCGTCGCGTCGATTCCATAGTTGTGTTTAGACCGCGGATGTTACGCACTTATGACAAAAATCAGGAGGGGAAATTCTAGCAGATAATGTGCACTTTGCGCAAGGTTAGTTGCCTTATTCTACTTAAACATATGAAACATAGGCAACAGGTTTCTGATCGGAGATTAACCACGTATTTAACGCTGGCACGCTAGAAAACGCGACTTTCATAGTGCCAATCAAGACCAGCAGTCCCCTTATCTGCGTATTGCCTAAAAAAAGAATGCGTACGCGCCAAAGTACGCGACGCAATCCCGAAAGCAGAGGATCGGGGAAGAGTAACCCACTAACCGTATGCTGCATGTAATATAGACCTGTTGGAACACGATTCCTTGTTGACAGGTGATGCAGTCGCGGAATTGGCTCTCGCGGTGTTCGCGAGCAAAGTGTCTTGCCGTTGATGTTTCGCTAAACGCGAGGGAGAGGCACAGAGGCTGGCCGATGGGCGCGGGAGCGAGTAAAACGGTGCCGGAGTGCCGGAGAGTATCGGCGAGGCGGACACAGAAGCGACAGGGAACGGCAATAGCGAGTAAACGCGAGAGCGCCCTCGCTCGCTCCCGTACGATGCAAAGACGGGGTATAAATAAGCGGCTGCCGTTTGCGGAAGCAGAAAACGGGCAAAAAGACAGAAATAAAGAAGGAGCCAAAGAAGAAAGGGAGGCAGCGACAGAGAGAGGAATAAATAAGCGGAGCCGGGAGAGCGAGAGGACAGGCAAAAGTAGAAGGAGCCTGAGCAGTAGCAACGGCAGAAGCTGAAGCTGAAGCAGAAGCAGCAACGGGTCCACCATCAAGTTCCTTGCCGCTTGGTTGACCAACGTCCTTCCGATCTACTACTTTTGCGGTGTACGATCCACCGCGTATTGAAAACTTTTCAGCGTGTCCTGTATCCTCTACGTACGCGGCAGGTGTACTACTGCCTCGTTATCCGGAAGGCCTGTTCCTCTTTGACGGCGACTCTTTCGCGCAGAGGTCGTTGATTTCGTCGTGGGAGGAACAGAGCGGAGATCGATTCAACGATCCGCAATCGTAAACGGATATGTTATACGGGGGGGGGGACAAAGATGACGGTCTTTCGGGGCTAACTGTTCGATAATTATGCGCTTGTTCTTTATACGCGTTTCCGGCTCGTTACGGGAAGAGAGAAATGACCATTCCTACGGCCGGCCGTTTCGAAAAATCCGTGGCTCGGTGTTTGAATCTCCCGATATCGCGGCGGGTTATCCTCCGTTGGATCTAGATACTATTCATGCTAACGTCGCATATCTGCATACGCATCGAGACACTTTTCGAGGCACGTTACGCAGCGGTGCAGTGGCACCACGTGTACACGGAAAGGTAACCTGCATCCTCGTGTGCACGCTGCACCGCGCCGGCCCGGAGGGGCGGTCTCATGCGGACACACGGACACGATATGTTCGGCCAATGTGTTGACTGTGAAACAGAACACAACAGAACAGAACAAAGCGGAACGGAACGGAACAGAGGCCCCGGAGTCGGAGCCGGAGTTGGAGTCGGAGTCGGAGTTGGAGTTGGAGTCGGAGTCGGAGTCGCGACGGAGCGGAGTGGAGCGGAGCCGGAGCGAGCGGAAGCGAATGAAACGGAACAGAAGCGAACGCAGTAGAGAAGCGCAGGCTGACTGCACGGCCGCAGCATGTTTATTGGCGCATCTCGGAGTCTTAAATCTTTATGTTGTCTCCTCGATGGGGTCTGCTATCTCCCTGTCCCATTGGCGGGACGGGCAGAGAAGGGAGAATCGGCAGAACCGCGGAAAGGGCGAGAGGGACGGGTAACAAAGAGGAAAGGTGGCCGGCGGGCTCGGAGCCGAGGGAGACGGAAACATCGGCTACGGCTAAGAAGAAGGAAGCCAGGAGGGGTTAGAGAAGGAACGACAGGGAAGGAAATCAGGAAAGATATATCTCCCGAGCTGCGGTCGCGAAATCGAGTCAAGAGTCCGACAACCAACGACCAAGACGCATCGACTGCATTACGCACACAGAAGCCGCGATTTTAGGCCTCGCGCATTATTAATGGTCTTAGGTGTTGCGGCCGCGGAATTACCGCTATCAGTCAGTCGTAACTGGGACAGCATCTAATGCAAACGAACGCTGATTAGATTCCATTATCTCACGGCGATATACAGATCCCGGGTTTTACGCATTTATGGCAAATGTGACACGGTCGAAGATTAAGGAAACGATGATATAAATCGAGTGGCATTAGTAGGTGCAAGATGTTCTCGATGTTACATCAGTCGGAGCGGAAAGTATGAGGGAACCGCTGGCTAATATCATTCTCTTCGATCGTGGTTTTTGTCTAGTAACTTTTTTATGAATATAGATTCGAAGTGCCTTTGTTTATACGGTTATCGTGTCGTATATCGAACAACCGTATCGAAAATTCATCTATTGGGTACGAAAACCGTACTTGAAATTACAGATAACTATGAAGTGTGGATCAGCGTTCAAAGTGGCGTAACATGGAGCCTTGAAATTATTAATAACGATGATGAATCTGATAACTTTACTTACATTAGAGCGGAGATAACATTGGTACTCCTAGACAAAGAGATCAGCCGAAACGGAAAGAAAATTGTTTAATTGCGAATAAATTATGCTGACAGTTATAGGGTCCTGAGAGTTTCTAAGTTTATTGAATAGAATTTTCATTAGTTATATACGTCAGTGAAACAGTATCTCGAACATGCGACAAAGGATTAGACAACGTTAAATCAAGAAAAGCATCATAGTCACAGGATAACGCATTGCATAAAACGAGTAAACATAATATACTTCGAATACGATGATACGCAATCGTTGTTTCTCGAAATTTCAAATCTAGAGCAGTGGAAGTCATTTTGTCTTCAGCTGTACTGTACAAGGTGACTTATGAACTGCATTCTTAGTGTAATTTTATATCTAATCGATTACTACTACGGCCAAAAAGACATTCGAACGCCAGAATAGAAGAATATTTTTCTGATCTGTACATTTGATATGTGTTTAATTTTCGCATTTGACCTATTGTACTCCAGTTTATTGAATCATTCACAGCACACCATGCGATTCTTTATCAAACTCCAATTTCTTCATCTTGAGTCACGCTATTACGAGAACCTGATTATTTTCCTTACAACTTGTCAGAAGAAAGATGGGGTTTCTAAAACTAAAGCTATTTGTGTACATTTACCAGTGCAAAGATAGTGCAAATAATATGACAAAATCATTTAATTGGCTAAGGAATAAGGAATCTGCTTTGATAACCAACTTTTTATGCACTGTATTGTACAAATTAACAGTGTCAATTGGTTCATAAATATAGAGTACACTTCACTAACAAGTTCACAAATGAGAATGATCGGTAACGTACGTTCGTTGAAGAGTGTTCTTGTTCCGCGATCTCAAGTTCTTTCGTATAATACGGAAATGAAAGTATTGCGTAATTACAGTAAGACGTCCTACTGATAAACAATAAATTCGACGTTTCAGTATGGGGTGTTCCTGCCGTTTCCGACGAGCGTCTCGAATCGGCAGCACGTACGTGTGTAGCTTCTTTCACCGGTGTATAGAGGAACGTGGGCGTGAAGGTGCTTTCGACCGCAGCTACTGATATAAAAGTGGGTAAGGGGCAGGCCATGATGGAGTTTTATCAGCATCGACGGAGACGGTGGTAAGTTTATTGTCGATACGTGCTGTTTATCGACTTATGCTACGTTTAGTTAATTAAACGAAATGGTGAAACCCCATTGCCAAGGCGTACGCTGGAACTTAGAAACGTGAACTGATTGTCGGTGGAAAGGAAATTGTATAGCTTGTCAATTTAAACCCTCGCAGCATGATTTACCCAGACAAACATAACTATGGAAGGAGGAACACTGAATATCTCGTGATACAGTAATTATTATGCAGATTTATTTGCTCGTATGTGTATACAACAATTCTAATCCAAAAATCTTGTCGGCCGTTGAACAACATAAGAATTAAATAATAATTAAAAATTAAATAATAATAAAAAAACATAGATGTATAATTTATGATACCTTAACATTTGATGATTTCACGCATAAGTTACAGTTAACATATTCTCAATGTAATCAGAGAACGGTGATCGTTCGGTCTTCGACAGGTTTTATGGTAGCTTTATTGTTAGCCTGCGTGCGGTCTTCAATGAAAATGTCTGAGACGAAATAGAGATCTTGAATGGTAGTTGATGAGCGCTTATGGTCGTTCGGCTGTCGATCCGCCCGACGATGTTTCTAAGGTAACAATAAGTGAAAGTTTCTGACTAGTATTATTGGTAACAAAGCGTGCGTTTGTAGACTAGTTATCTTTGCATTACAAAGGATCGGAGTATTTATTCTTAAATGTGCTCACGTTGCTCGGGCAATTACAATGACGAGTGAATAATTGGATGGTTCTGCAACATTTCAGAACACTAACGTGTCCGACGAAAAAATCGTCCACGATCGGGCAGCACGTCGAGCAGCAGGATCAGGATGGAGGATTGATACAGCCAGAGAAATTCCTGGTACCAGCCTGTGCACGCGGCATGGACTTTGACGATCCCTTAAGTGAAATATCATCGACAATCATTCACGTAAGATCTTTATCGGTTGGTAACGTGATCTCTGACCCCACCAAACTCGGGAGCAGTTTTATGCGAGCTCCCGCGGCGCGTGAATATACACCCATGGGTAGGTGGGTGTCGGTGCATCCTGGAGGACGATCGGTAAGATTGTTCGAAAGAGGAATGTATACAGGGTGTCCCAAAAATGTGGGACCAGAGGAAACGCGCATATTTCTATCGCGCATGCAACCCGAAGAGTCCCTTGTCGACTCGAAGTCTCATCTCCCAAGTCAGGGTTTCGGTCTCAAGACAATACCAATTGAGTGTTGCAGATTTGAGTTACGAGGAACTTTACATCTGACTTTTGCACTCGAACTAATTAGGTTATACGTTGATAGTCTACTTTTACATGGGCTCTACAGTTGGTCCGAGGAGTGCAGAGGGTGAAACTCCGGTCAACTGAACAATTAGAGCATGTAATCGCTCGTACAGAGACAAAAACTAGAGGGTAACGATCCTAGGTAGATGCTTTTCTTTGGATATTCTATTCTGATAATCTAAATGGAAACTTCTCGATCTTTTATTGCGCTTTGGGCGATCTGATTAGGATTTAACCCTTACACTATAACAACGAGTCAGGCTCGGGATGAAGATTTCATACATAATCTACTAAATACGAATGTTATTCGTCTTTGCTAAATCGAAACAATAATTCTTTTCTTATCGAGATCTAGGAATGAAAGTACATGGAAACATATACAAGAAACAAAAATTGTTTCGTTCTATTGAGGAAATGATTAACACCAAGTTTCTAAAATTATAAAGATTCTTTCATAGAAAATGATCAAATCTTGTTAATCCAAAATGGCGTAAGGTGTAAATAAATACAATCTTGTCATTTCTATAAAGCAACACACGTTAGTTACTTTTAGGTTTTTTAATTTAAGTTACTTTTTAAGTTTGCTGTTAAGGACAAAGAAGTTCTAATCAACGTAGCTGTATAAGAAACCATAGTGCAAGAGATTATTATAAGATTTCGGATTTTTATGCATAATCTCAGTTTCATACGTTATTTTACGAAAATTCAAATTAAAGAAACGTTTCCTTCGGCAACTAAAAGATCACTCGATGTAAGAAGAGAATCAAAGTGCTATTAGACTCTGTCAACTTATATATTTCTTTGCATTTGAAAAATCCGTACATGCCATAAGAGCATAAAGATCCGCCGTCTAGTTATAATGATAACTCGAAAGAGAAAGTCTCAGCCTGTAGAACAAAGAGTGGCTCTTCAACTTGTACATGAGTCAGGAATATTCACGTTTCGTCCTATATCGTTGGCAGACCCTGTATAACGCGGTCCAGGGCTTCGGGATGGTTGGAATCACAGAAAAGTATTTGGCCGGGTTCGCGAGAAAGCCAACGCATAACGTTTCGCACGCAGAACCGCGTCTGCCAATAAATAAGGTTCGGCATTTCCCGCGCGCTTTGCGCTCCTTATCGAACCACTCAGGTATCATGGAGGATGGTCTTCCGATAGTACTTCCGTTCGAAACGATCGAATCGTTGCACCTTACCTACGAACAATCGAATCACGTCCAACGAGAGATAGATATTTCACGAAATAAGGAAATAAAGCAATTCTTGCGCGAACCACTCTATACATCTAACCTATCAGATTGCTATATAGATACAGAGAAGCGTCGTTCTCAACGAAGAATTGAAAATTTGTAGCGAGCAACCCTTGTATTATTAACACGTTAACAGTAAACCTATCGAGCGATAATAGTACTGCGCATTGTATCGTACAATGAGAGGATCGAAATCATTTTGATTTTGAAAAGTTTTTATTACGGAACTTGCTGGCATAATGTAATTTATTTAAGCATTTTCCATGAAAGAGTTTCTAAAATTTGTTTAATTGTGTGGGTTAGAATCATAGCGACGTAATTCACATTTTCGTCATTGTGAGAAACAAGAAGTGTTCTTGTTTACTAACATGTGTATTGTTTACTGACTAAATTTATTGTTAAGATAATTTAGAGTTAAGTTAATTTACAGTAAGTTTATAACTCATTTCATTTGTCTATTTAACATTTTGGCACGTATAGATTACATTTTAAGGTATAAGTCAAAATTTTCGAAAATGTGACATACGTCACTTGGATTCTAATCCACTCGATCGTTAAATAGTTTAGTGTTAAAATAGTTTCCTGTTCGATCTGTCAGTTACCTATTTCCTGTAGCATCTTTGTTATCGAACATCGAACAGCAACGTGTCACAGTTAGTCGAGAAAATATTGCGAATTTTGATCGTTTATGCGAAAAATGATTAAGCAACTGTCTCGCAAAATTTGAATATCGCATAAAAACTCGCAATCCGTTCAATGGTAATGCGAACTGCGAAGGTTTACCTGTATCCTGGGACGAACGAACGAGGCCGCCTTTATTCATAAGAACAAACATTCGCGTGATTGAATGCGCTCCGGCCAATCAATCCGGAGGCGCCGACGAGGGACGAAGAACGAACTCACGTTCATCGAGGACTTTCATGATTGTCCCATTGACGTCTCACTCCGGCCCAAAAAGGATTTGTGACTGCCGGAGCTGACGTGAGGAAGCCCTGGGATGTGGAGACATTCTCGATTCATTTGGGAGGCTGTTATAGTAAATTAAGGAGGCTCTTCGTGGGTTTCGTTTCTTATCAATGACCAGAATGATAGAGATTAGGATTTGGTGGGAAAAAAGTATATAAGAACAATGGTCAATCCGAATTTGAAAATTCCTTGACGTTTTTCGTTCCTTCGCCGATGTCTCAATGTTTTATGGTGGTTTGTATAATTTCTTGTGTTTATTGAAGTTCGGAAGGCTCCTGGAATTTTCGAGATTGATGAGATTGGACCCTAAAAATTGTCTTTATATGCAGAACAAGTTAGACTGTGATATCCAAGATTGCAATAATTGTAACATCTAGTTAATGTAACTGAGTAAATAACATTGGCCATAGTCGGGATTACGGTATACTTTTCTGTGCAAGAAAAGAGCCGATGTTTGTTAAAAGACATTACCTCGTTTCGAAATATGATAATTACGCTTTTACGGTACATGGTCAAACCCAATCTACATTGTGTCTACGTGGCAAGTTCTCTCGCGCCAAGACATAGGAAATCGCGCAATACTTTTAGGCTCCCCTGATACCCACGTTGCGAAAAAGTGAAATGTGTTGTACCATTGAGTTTCTATTGTTGTTTCGAGAGGAGTTAAATAGGGCAAGGTTGAATTTCTGATTACTGGAAAGCGTTGCATATCGGTCGGACCAGTCGTGTGTTTTCACCATTTTAGCCCATCCCGGTTTCGCTGCGCGGCTGCGGACATTTTAGAAAACGTGGTTATTCGTGATTAGTTTCGCGAGTAGTGTCAATAAGAAAAATGTAAATTAATTTTCATTGCAGCGTTCGTCGAGGCTTCTTCGACAAGATTTATAACCAGACTGTGGATCTGTATGCGAAATGAAAATTATCTGCATCAATTGCAAGACGTAGGAGTCAAGCACAATGTGTTTTCTTCTTTTTTGAATATAATTTTTATAAGCTCAGTTTAACACATCGACATTTTTAGTTCCTTTCAATCTTTTTACTGTTTTAAATTGCAACTACACATTTTTCACAAATGTAGCAAATTTGTCTGTTTGCAACACAAACGTTTCGAAAACCATCGCTTTTGAGATGAACTTGGGTGATTTGTGCAGTGAATGAACGTTTAAGCTGCATGTTTGTTAACACATTAGTAATGATTTTATTAAATTGTTTAGCGGTACTAATTATTTCAATCGTGTAACAACAAGTCGTCCTCGATAACATTATCTAATAATTTCGTTTAGGATTATCCTGTAGAAACAAATTACTTAGATCTCTCTTACACAGTATTCCACAATAGTTGAAAACTCTATTAATAATCTGAACACAATTCTAGCATTTTTCAATACTTATAGTATTTTTCAAAAGTGCAATGTAAAATTTAGGGAGAAATGTATGAAACTACCAACGAATGTACACTTTATCATTTTGATACATTTTTACAAAATTACATCCGCATTACATTTGTGGGTGTAATAAGGCGAAGTCACATGCATCGATTTATCATTGCGTTTTAAAGTAACTCAATGTAACATCAAGAACATTTTGTATCTTAATCTTCAGATCTCATGTCATACCACATCGTATATGATTAGTATAATAACTTCACTTTTATTAAAAATTATAAATTCGCCGTTCATTCATATCTAAAACTTGCTATTCTGTCGTTTTATGTTACATAAATTATTTTAAAGGATTATCTTGAAAATGTACGATACTCGCCACTTTTCGGTGCAATATGAGAAACCAACTGTTCGTTACATTACTATAAAGGCATAGGGAATCGATGATTCCTGTGTCGAATCGTACTTTAAATATAGCAAATATAACCGCAGTGATATGATTCAACACGACCGTTACTATATTACTCTTATTACTCTCTCCAATAACTGTCCAAGACAACTGAGTAGATTGGGCGAAGTGAATTGGAAAGAACTGACTTCTGCACTGATTAGAATCATCCAGATTAGTTCTAGGTCACATGCTGGTACCTGTTGTAAAACTATTTGGCTAACGAAACAGGCACGGTGGAAGAAGGATACAGGCGATTAAGTTACGTCGATGGATCGAGGAGATCGCCGAGCCAGATAAAATTACGGGGACACCGTGACGAATAACGACGCAGGATTACGATCCCGAAATGACTGGCAGAAGCGTCCGAATGGGTCCGGACGTACGATTCCGAGGCATTCCGTGAACCGTGGCACACGGTGACGAGCAAAAGAGCAGTGACGCGTTTCTCATTGCGAAAATCTTTGGGTAGGAGCGCCGGTCTCTCCTCTCTTTCTCTCACTCTCCATCTTTCCTCTTCAGCAAGGGGCCCGGAGATATCTGACCCCCTCCCCGGTGTACATCTACTTTAATTACGTTTGTCATTTTGCGGCTGGTGTCTCATTACGAAGAAAGTTCGAGGTTTAAGTTGGCTGGTTGCGAGCCTAGGTGGCCTCTTTCTGGTAACGGCACTAACCAACCCAACCAGACAGTCAACAACAACAACGACGCAGGAACGAACGAACGAACGAACGAACCAACCATCCAACCAACCAACCAACCAACCAACCAAGCAACCAAGCAAGCAAGCAACCAACCAACCAACCAACCGACGGACCAACCAGTCATGAGCCCCCTTTTACCTTACGTATAGCCCTCCGCGTGCCTCTCTTCGCATCGCCGCTCTAGATCTTCGGATAAGAGCGAACACCATTTTAGCGGTTCCTTACACACCAGACATCCGTTCCCTTCCTATATGTACGTGCTACAGGAGAGCTCGCTGCATTTTCTCCGCCGCGAATGTGTCAAGCGACTGGAAAACAGAGAGAAACAGCTCGCGAGAAAGAGAGAGACGGCGAGCTCGAACAGAGGGGTTGGCTCGCCGGGGAAGGGGGGTAAAGGACAAAGAGGTTTGCGAGAATGGGAAAGGGAGAGGAATCGTGGAGAACGATCGAGCGGGAGAAAGAGCCGAGAAAGGTGGGACAAGGAGGAGGAGAAGAGGGAGATAGGGGCATGTCAGCCGAAACCTTCTAATCCCACGTACTACAGGTGCTTAATTCGTT